AAGATAAAAGTATTAAAAAAAATTTTACTCAGTTTGAAAAATAATTATTTTCATTTCCTTCATTTTTACCAGGTTTTATCAATTATTTCTATTTTGGAAAAAATATGTATTCTTCAAAATGCTTACAATATCTTAAAAAAATTGCATATATTTTATACTGAACAACTTTTGATTGACAGTATTTTCTTCATAAGAGAGTCTTTAAAAAAATTTGAAAATATTTTCATTAAATTTGTTCAAATATTTTCTGTAAAATGCGTGCTATTAGGAAAACAAGGAGAAAAAATATTTTTAGTGAAGCCATGACATAAAGAAACAAATCTATGACATATTCACTACTATTTTCGTATAGTTAATTTATTTTTTATAACATCAAATCATATTTATTGAAACTTAAAGTTGTGGCTGCTTAACTTTTTTTAATGTTTCTTAAATTCGTCAGGGAAAATTCCGATATTTTCCATTTTTCTTGCTTCTATCACTATTATTTGTATATATCTGAAATTACTCACCTTCGTTTTAATTGTTTCCTAATTAATTTTATCATATATTTTGCTATATATATTTATCCTTTCATTCTATGCTTCATTAATTTCATAACATATCCATCTTGTAACTTTTTATTCATAATTTTATAACAACTTCAGCTTATTAGATTCTATAACTCAACAATTGGTCTATATATTTTATAATTTTTTTTATTCAATTTTTGGGCTTCTAAATAAGATATGGAAAAAATACTATGAAAATTATTACATTTATTATCAATCTAAAATTCGGCCTTTTTTTCCTCCTAAGTGCGAAAACACATTTACTAACTTAAGGTAACGTAATTTAACACGATTCATCTATTTTAATAAGAAAGATTCAGAGAAAAGCAGGATCAGAAAAAGTGAGATGTGTATTTTAATTTATATTCTGCTTCAAAAATGAGACAAAAGAGACACAGAAAACTTTTCTGTTATTATTTAATAGTCTTCATTAGTCTTTAAAATTCCGAAAGAATTTTTCAGTTGCTGGAATCATATAATAGTCTCATTTGTAACAAATTGTTTTTTAATTTTTTTTTACACAATAGCTTTTATTGTATGCAATTTGCTTTAAAAGTTCAAATATTTATTCTTGGATTGTCATGCAGTCTGTGTGTCTGAAAACTGTATGACCTATTTTATTTTATTTGTTCCTTGCAGAATGGTAATAATTGTTTCTTATTTGATAATAAAAATCTTACTTTTGCTGAGATAACTGATCGCAGGAGTTTTGTTTTATTATCATAACATCGATTAATTTTTTTGAGAAAAGTGTAAGTCCTCAGCCTTTCAACCCAATTGCTTTAAAACTACTTTCTTTATTTAAAGAAAATTATTAAATTTAAAAATTGTTAAGATTCTCTTATTTGACTCAATATCTTGTCTTTAATGAATCAGAAATAAATAAACAGATTGTCCTTATATTGTTATACAGTTATGATATGAGAATGTCAAAGTTGATGCTTACTGTTTACATTATATTTTTATTTTACAAATCATAAAAAGTTTTCTTTAATCAAAATTGTGTTCACCTCATAAATATACTTTAACTGCTACAAATTTTTAAGTCTTGGCTACCAAAGCTGTGGAGTTGGCTAATACGTATGAAGGAATTTATCGTTTGGGACATAACATTTACAAAAAAGTGTCAAATCTAAGTACAATTGTTTGGACGCAAATATTATTGGCACTGCAAATGGGAATCATTACATCAAATTTAATCATAGATATCAATGTCAGAAAAGTAAAAAAGAATAAATTCATGTATAAAGCTGACAGCAACAATCTCCTCATCATTACACGTATATAAAAAGAAAATGCTTAAAACTCATAAATTGTGTAGTTACTTAAATTAAAGGTTCTAAAAACTAAACAATAAGGTACAAAACCCTGCTGCATTATAGAATATTGTGTCCACATACTTGGTAAAGACACCATAAATTATTTGCAATAATTTTATAAAAATAATTAAAAAGCTATACCCTACTCATATATCCTACACCCACAACAAAACTTTATCCTAAAAAGGAAATAAAAAAGTAAGAAATAAATATGTGTTTCAGGAAGTCCGAATAAAAAGAGAATGATAATACACAAAATTTTTTAAAGCAGCTAAATTTATTCACACCTCATGTTCACTCATGCGTTTTTTAAATCGTATGTCGCAAGTGAAACATGCGCGAATTAATAATCGAAGATTTTCGCGAGAAAATTTGAAACCCGACTTGGCGAATTTCAAAATACGGTGCCAAAGAAGTGCCCGGGAGTCGACAATGTGTAAAGTCGCGTTGTGGTCAGATGTAAGGAAGGGGAAAAAAAAAAAAAAAAAAAAAAAACCCTTTTCCTTTGAGAGAAAGAATATACAACACACTAATTAGAGAAAAAAATAACTTCAAACATTTCGAAAAATTTTTTTTTTACGTGAAATCTTTTTTTAAAAATTCAGAAAAAAGAGTAATGATTTTTTTTCGACCTTTTCGGTTCAAATACTTGTCCTTTTTTCCAAAAGAAAGTATGGAAAAGACAAGTGAAAGATTAAGATTAAAAAGTAACAAAGTTAAAGTAACAGTTCGTTCTTTTCACTTTTGCTTTCGTTACAAGTAAAAGTATTGCCATGCATGGTCTTCAATCCAAAGATGCCAATCCAAAATCCAAGATTATTGATTGTTTCCCTTCGCGGTAGCTTCACGCTATTAAATTAAGCAAAACGCTTTTATTATAGTTCATGTCATCAGCATAGAGATTAATTATATTCATCATTACTTTACTTGGTATGATGCTATTGCTCGCGGCCGACTCACAAGAGGCAAAATTTATCACTATCAAGTAATTTTACAAATCCTTTTCAAGGGGACACTTAATCGGTATCGGTTTTAAAACTGCTCAGTATAGGTGTTGGTTTAATAATGAACAAATATATCAATGTAATACTTTATGTCTATGTTAGTACATTTGGTACCTATTACATAATCCTTCAACATTTGCTTGCGAAATACATTTAACTCTGGTAATAAAATAAGGCCTTAATTTTCATTAAGATTAAATTTAAATTTTAATAAAACCTAAATATTAAAGAGCTTGAGAAGGATTTTAGAGCATGACGATTTATCTATCTGAACTTTTATATACTGCATAAAAAGTAACGTAGCAAAACTTTTTTCTACCTTTATTTAAAGTATATTTATAAATAAAGGTGGAATTTTTTTTTCTTAATTCTAATTCATTAAAAATATTAATGCACTATTTTTGCTACCACTGGCAAAATATCTTTTTAAACTACGGAAAATCCGTAATGGAAGTTTTATTAAAACTGCACCAATAAGTACCTTTTCACTATTAACTTTGCTTTTTAGTACACAGCTTATTTTATTTCAATGCATTTTAGAAGCATCATTAGCTTCAATAATATTACTGTAATTTTTTACGTTTTTCCTTATCGAATCAGTACTACTTTTCTATTAATTTTGCCTTTCAAAACAGAACTGTTTTTTTTTAAATTTTAATTACAGTTGATTTATAATTATTTACGTATAAAGAAATACGTTTTAGAAGATTTGCGAAAAATAAAATAAATACGTGGCTTTAGATAACTTTAGGAATACTAATTTGGAGACGTAGTCCTCCCGTGCTTGAGTTTATCTGACAAAGCGAATAATTAATAATTCAGTACTAAAGTACGTACATTAAACTCTTTGTGTTTATTGTGCACTGTGATGTTATCCTTAAAATATTTGTTAGTATGAAATATTCAATATTTTAAATTAAAACAATAACGAACCGAAGACAGAAATCCGAATTCGCCAAAAAAAAGGTATGTTTATTCAGAAAAAGTATGTTTTTGTACCTGATTTCGTAACTTAATATATCGTATGCACTTATTAATTAGCATATATGAGGTCACTTCCTCGAGCCATTGAGTCCTAAAACGTGAAAATCGGATAATCTGATCAAAAATTATTCAGGGTCCGTTTTTTTGCGCACTACAGATTAGGATTTGCAAATTAATACTCAGCTAGCTTTTTGTTTTAGCTTTTAATAATTCGATATTTTACATAATTTATTAATTAGTTAACTCTTTAACGGACCCTTTATTTCTAGTAAAGGTAAATTAAAGTATTTTCGGAATTGAAATTGTTTTAAGAACAGTAATTGATATAAAAAAGAAAAAAACTCATTTAGTTTATAAAAATGCCATTTTCTTGGTGGTAAATATATTTAATATGACCTATTAGGAACTTATTGACTTTTATTTTTCTTTATTTATAAAGTAAATTCCTTAAATGCTACAAACTTCAAAAGGAATTATGTATTTTATAACTTTTATACGTTTTTTAAAAGTGACAAATGGTTACCAATTTTATTCAAACTCACTTCAAGAAAGCTGAAGTTATTGAAAAATGGAAACCTAAATTAAAAGTGGTAAAACGTGGTGGTAAGTATACTTACCACGGCCTTCAAAAGGGTTAAAACTTAATTCAAACAGTGAGGAGTAATTTTGAAATTAATTTTATTTATAGTGCTTCATCAAAATTTATTGGAAAAAAAACTAAGCACGTCTTCTATTAAGGCTATGATGCTCTCCTTTCCCAAGGGTAAAAATTGGCTTCCAATTTTTTTCCAACATAGGGCTTATAATTTTCTGATTATTTATTTGAATTACATAACAAAACTGGCTCTGGATAATTATTCTAATGTCAACAACAAATGCATGGATTCTGATGAATAGATGTTGATTGTCTGAATAAAAACAATAATCTGTCAATTTTGAATTAATATTTAATTGTAAGTTATCTAATTTTTTGATAAATTGGATTTTAAATAAAAATTTAAATAGTATTTAAATTTGATTTCTAAACCATCCAATCCAATTTTTTTCTGAAACTTATTACTAAATTTGAATATGTAAGATGCAACATATCCACTGAATAAGCATATATAAAACTCTATAGGAAAGCTATAATTAAAAAACAATAAAAGAACATTTTAATTTTATTTTTAAAAAAAATACGATACAAACGTATAAAATGCATACAATACGATATTGTTTGAATTGAGATTGAAATAATTTGAGATAGTGCCCGAACGAAAATAATATAAAATACGAGAACCAAACAACTTAACATTTTTATATACAAAATTGTTACTAAAAAAAAATAATTAAAGCTTAGCTATTTTCTAAAGAAAAAAGGGAAATAACAATTAAAAAAATCGATAAATTTGTTGATACTAATAATTACTAAATAAAAAATAAAAGGAACAACTTATGACAGTCAATATTATCAAACTGTTTCAAAATAAAAATTAAATATTATGTGCAAAACAAGATCTCACGTAATACAGTTGATTTATAAACAATATATGAAATAATTACAATGAAATTTCCTAAATTTTATTTCGAGGAAGAATGGAAAATGACTGAAGTTTATTTTAATATTGTAAAAAGTCATGCAACATATATATACATACAAGCAAAAAAATTTCCTAAATTAAAAAAAAAAGACATTTAGATATTAATGACAAAATTGATTCAGACAACATAAAAGTATTAAACTATCTAAAATAATCGCTACGAAATTTCTTAAATTTGATAGATATTTCAAATAATTAATTTTCAAATCTCAAATATAAATTTTCAGTTTCCAAATTAGGTAAAAAATGAAAAATAATGGTAATTAAAAACAAAAACCAAATTAAAAAAGTAACAAAAAGAACGAATATTTTACGGATAAAGATAAAGTGGTTCCATCATATTTCAGTGGTTTAAAAAATATGCAGGATGTTCCGTATCCCCTCTTTTATTTATTTTTAGAAACATTGTAACTGTATGTACAACAGCGAAATCTGCCAAATCACTAGTGAGAAAAGCGGGATACGAAACATCTAACTAGTTTGTTTGCTTGATGAAACTTGGAAGTGTGTTTCTCTTAATCATCTTTTAATTACGCTATGATCAATTAGGTTTTGATATTTTTAGTCTCGCCTTCCTCAGCAATTAAATTTCGATAGCAATTTTTTTCTTTATTCTGGTTTAAATACTAACTTCCTGCTCCTAAGGAACGAATTTTTTTAAAAATTTCATTTTCAATACAAAATAAAATTATGTATACGTTAGGGCGGTCTTTACAGAATACTTTATGTATCATTTTTGAATTTCCATACACGTAGTTCCTTATTTGTAAAGGTTTCAATTGCTATCTTTCAAAGAATTTAAATTGTTCTAAAGTTATGAGTAGAAATTATTTCGTGGCGATTCCCAGGATATTTGGTCTAAAATACACCATAAGTGCCGATAAGTAGCTGACTTCAACGTGGACATCTTTGAAACCTGCTTTCTTTATATATTCTGCAGATGTTCGATTGGGATTGCATCCTGCAAGATAGAGCCTCCAAATAGGTGCCACATAATTCTGAATGAAATATCCTGCTTGATTCCTTGGATAGGCAACGTGTTCCAGGAAAAGATATTTTCCATTCTAGGAAGGAAAAAACAGAATATTATATAAATATATATACAAGGTGCAATAGAATAGAATTTACCGCCCAAACATAGGTGCATCATTCGTGAAATCCATTTTACCGGAAATCCATTTTCACCATAAAATATCGTACCGTAATTTTTAAAGATATGTCAGATGTTTTATTCCCTAACATATTCTGGTAAAAATGGATTTTAATTCAAAAAGTACCCAGAGTGCCGGTACTAAATATGAAAAATGGCTGTAAAAATGTGTTAATCACGGCTCAGTTGCTAATTTTGTAAACTGAAAATGCGCTCTAAAATTCGTGCTTATGGAAAAGCTGTAATGATCTCCTGAACTTTCAGGTTCTTATTTTCACGGGACCTGAATTTAGTTATCAAATGTTTCATCCGAGTTTAAGTCAATTTCTTCTTCTTATTTTTTTTTTTTTTTATTTACGACCGGTAGTATTTAAATGTAATATTGTTTCATCATTAACCATTATTTCATATTTATTTCCATGAGGAATGAATTTTATGTTAGTAGATGAAAAAGAAAATTGTGTTGCTTTATGTGTACAAGAACTCAAGTCTTAAATTTAATTAGTTGAAGGTGGTATAAAATACTTAAATTTTACACAAGAGTTCTGGGAGATGTTAGGACAAGTTTGCTGTTGTTGTTGCGTTGTGGCTTGTTCCTTACTGTCCAGCTGCAAATTAGACCATGTCCGGGAAGTTGTGAATCCTCAAAAAGTATTGATAAAAAAAAATCCTCAAAAGTATCCTCAGAAAGTAAAAAAGCTATCAAGGCGTGAAAGCCACTCCATTATGGTCAGCTAAAATCTGCAAGCACAGGAACTAAGTCAGTCTTTTGCCTTCGGGTAATCCGGCTCTCTTGATCCTGAGAAACTGTCCACCACTTCCTTCAGCCAGCCGACCGGACTGCGTAGGGGTCAGGGAACTGGCCTTGCATCAGGAAGGTTTCGGGTTCGAATCTCAGGCAAGGCATGAATGCTGTTTCATTTTCTGTACTATCTGTCCTTAGTATGGGAGCAACGGTGGCTCACCTAATGTGTTGTCCCTGAAAGAGTTGCCAAAAAATCTGCCTCTGCAAATGCCCGAATTGTCGAAATGCTAACACAGGTGGGTATTAGAAATAAGAATAATAATAAAAAAAAAACTTCCTTTAACCTAGTGGTAAAATTTCTTCAGTTTCGAAATGAATCCTGCAGCGTTTACCACATTTTGAGAGATGCTTCAGAAGAAATGCTATACATTAATAATATCAATAATTTCTTTTATAGTTCAGAATTTCCAATTTTCGAAAAAGTAGCCGCATGCTTTTTATAGTAGCCACTATAAAATTACTACTGGCCAAAGGCCAGTAACGAAATTGAATTTTTTTTCCTATATAGGGGGCTATGCATTTTTAGAATCGTTCTACACTGTAATAAATTCCGGATATGCATCATTCGTAAAATCTTTTTTTACCGTAAAATATTAAACCATAATTTTTACTGTAATATTTATTTAATTAGAGTGATTCAGAGATTTATACGTTTATTACTGTGAAAATTACAGTATATAAGGTTTTTTTGTTCCATAAGATAATCCAGTAAAATTGGATTTTATGGTAAAAGGTATCAGTACCTTGAGTGCCGGTACTTTTTGCTGTAATTTTTAGTGGAATTTTTTTTACAGTCCACGAAATTGGTAGAAAAAAGTCTTCGCGCTTAAACGGAGAACAAACAAATACTTAAGCAAGAAAAAAACAAGAACGTGCATAGTTTGAATAAACATACATATTTGGCGACAGACTAGGATACTGGACCATGTAATCATGTTAGGTACCCGCAAATCAGAAAATGTTGTTTAAGTAATTGAGTCACGACAGCGGTCGAACATGTGTTCTCTTTAATACTAATATTTCACCTTTCGCATTTTTTCAAATTATAAATTTTGCAGTTTGGCGAGAATAAATTTTCTTTTAGTATCTAAACTGAAAATATTAAACTGTAACTGTATACCCTTCCGGTTTTCTTTAAATGTTAGTTCAAGCCATCGGTCATTATTGGACTTGCATATAAATTATATGCACACAAACATATCATACTATAAACTATGAATAAATTTATGCATTATAGAAATTTCGTTATTCTAAAAATTTAAGAAGCATCATGTCATAATTCTTGGAGAGTAATTTTATGTTATAAAATAAAGAATAAATTTATCTAAAATAATTAGGGCCTACACTAAGCATTCACTTCCTCGCCAAATGCGATAAATTCATTAACTCGGTGAGAAAAATTGCATTTTGGCAAAAGTATCGACGAATGATTTTTTTATACCGAAAAGAAAAATATATATTCCACTCAATCCTTTAAAAAAATCAAATAAAATAAAAGGTAAAAAGGAGTTTTTTTGAACAAATCCCGTATTTTTTATTCAATTACAGTAATTTTCGTTCGATACGTCGAATAACCAGTTAGAATTATAATAAATCCAGATAATGAAAGTATAAGCGATAACTGTAATTGCGTAAGCATGAGACAAACTATCGTATATTATCGGATTGTCGGATATCGTTGCCGGATATAGCGTGATGAAATTCTTCCCTTCAGTTTGGGTCAATAAAACAGATTAAGTGGTAGCATAATATTATCATCCAACTATTTTGCAAAAATATATTTTCTCGTGAACATAATCTATCAATAACGTGACAACAACATTATGTTACTTCAGGTTTATTCTTATATTACTGCCTCTAGTCTAAGAATCAATCAAAAATTAATCCCAACCTATTCCTATTATTCTCCCCCTAACAGCAAATGGAGTCTTGAATTTGTATTTTATAAAATAATTCAATTTATACTAAATTTGTATTTTGATTTAAAGTTTTTTACGGTAAAAAATTTACCATAATTTGTTTAAAATTTTTACCTTTGGCTAAGAATTTTGAAAATTGGCTAATACTTTTGATATTTATCTAAGTTATTGACTAATAATAAGTCCTTATCGGGGGTCTTGAATAATGCTTACCGGCTTCAAAACTCTTTTGACTTCTTTTAAGGCATTTTCGACATTCTTAACCGAGCACAAAACGTGGGTACTGACAACAACATCAAATGTATCATCAGGAATTTCTGACATATCTTCAGCTGGCTTTAGGATTGTTTTTTTGTAGTTCACCTGAGGGTAGTTCTTCTTATTTTTGTTAAATACTTCAAGAAAGGAAGGATTAACATCGAGAACAGTGAGATTGGAATTTTCTGGATAAAACTGCAAGTTTGCACCAGGTCCGATTCCAATTTCTAATATTTCCAGAGGGATGGATTTTTTTCTGCCAGGAAGGTTCTCCTCCAAAATTCTAAAAATCTTCTTCCTTAGGGGTAGGATTTGTGGATAAAATAGTATTTTAACTATATTAGAGTAGAAAAAAGAGAACCAAGCATAGTTATATTTCTGGCTGAAAAGGAGCAGTATCACCAATGGCAGTAGAATTGAAAGAGATGCGGCCCACCACAGACTTGTTAAGAAAATGTAAAAGAAAATTTCAATCATTTTGACGAAACCTGAAAAAAGAACGCACTTATTACTTATTCATGTTTCAGAAAAATATCATATGCAAATTTATTTCTGAAAATTGGGTACTTGCAACTCACAAACTGAACTGAAGAAATGAAGCGATTCTGCCTAACCATGTGATTTAAATCAAATTTAATTGGATTACTAAAAATGACGCCACGCGTGTGTCAAAACTGATTGGCTTATGAAACTACAAATACCATGTCTTACCTACGATGACGTCATTTGCATGCATTCAATTGGGTATACTATAGCCTACGTCACAGATCGTGTTATTCCTACTAAATTTAACTAGTAAACAGCATTTTCTGCTAACCTGATTTCTAGCAACAAGTAAAAGCATCAAACGAAGTGTATTGTTATAAGTCGCTACTCGCCAGGTTGGAATTGTATCAGTCTAGTTCCTTTGAAAATAATTTATATTGTTGTTTTACCGAAGTTTATGAATTCGCGATCGCAACGCTCGAGTACGCCGTCTAGCGGGAGCCTGTAAATATCAGACATTAATTTATCACGTTTTCATTTAGTTCCATCAAAGTCATTGACAGAATCAGACGCCATTTTTTAGCAGCAAATAAGAAACAAAATTTCCCTAAGGAAAAGGCCGAAGAACTTGAAAAAAATCTCCAGAATATTAGTAAATCTTTCAGGAACAGAACACGCCAAACATTTGAAGAAAAATTCC